TGTAAAAAAATCTCGTTATAGACATGCTATATCCGTGACGGAACACCATAGACATGCAATAGCTCTGACGGCCTTTAATCTACGTCGTCTGATACAATCGGACGACACCGAGCCTATGGGCAAAAATGAATATATATATATAGATAGGAAAATTCTTTCCAACGCCTATAAGTGAAAATGAAAAGTGATTTGGCCTACCCACATCACCGTCCAAATTTCATCGTACGGTCACGATTGTCCGGTAGTATTTTATTTTTCAAGTTTTTTTTTACAAATCAAAATGACCTAAAATTTGGAAGGTATGTACATATTACTGAAACACATCTAATAAAAATATAAAAAAAAATTATCCGTAAAACTAAATTGACCAAAATACCCTCGAAAAGTTTTGGGGGTATTTTGGTCAATTTTTTCATGTAAAATATTGTTTTTTTAATTTTTTACGATTACCCTATTTTTGATGAATACACGCTCCAAATTTCAGGTCAATAAGATTTTTAGAAAACAAAATGAAAAATGAAACACTACTGGACAATCGTGATCGGGCGAGGAAATTTGGACAGTGATGGGGGTAGGAGAAATCACTATTTATTTTCGCCTATAGGCGTTGCGTAGTGTTTTCCATATATATATATATAAAGGTCTTCCCGACGCCTATAGGCCAAAATGAACAGCGACTTCGTCTACCCTCATCACCGTCTCATCGCACGGTCATGATTGTTTGGTAGTATTTCATTTTTCATTTTTTTTTCTACAAATCGAAATGATCTGAAATTTGGAGCGTGTGTATATCTTAGTGATACATGGCTAATAAAAATATAAGTGTACATCTTAGTGAGACGTGGCTAATAAAAATATAAAAAAAAATAATTCGTGAAAATAAAATTGATCAAAATACCCCTGAAACTTTTGAGAGTATTTTGGTCAATTTATTTTATGTAAAATATTTTTTTGATATTTGTCGTAGATTCGCTTATTTTTTATGAACACATGCCCTAAATTTCAGATCATTCCAACTTGTAGAAAAAAAAAAAAATGAAATACTATCAGACAATCGCTACCGTGCGACCAACTTTGGACGGTGATGAGGGTAGGCGAAATTACTGTTCATTTTCGCCTATAGGAGTTTTGTAGTATCTTCCTATATATATATATATATATATATATTATT